CAATTGACCATGAAAACTCGGCCGTCCCAGCATAGTGACCATGAGCGCACCGGCCAAGTTGCCCCGCTAGTCCCGGCCAAATTACCCCATATTGCCATTCTGAAAATTTTTGTCTATAAAGTCATCACAGCTTTACGGAATTAGATAAAATTGCTCTTGGAACCGCTGAGCATCGCCAAGAATGGCGCTATAATGTCTGAATTCGTTTTTAGCCCAAATACTACATGTTATAGGGGCATTCCACGTCAAGTGAGACAATTAATGACCATTTTGAACCTCACCTCCTCCGATTTTTGCGAAACTTGGTGAAACTACTTATCTATATGTGAAAAGAAAGGAGACATTTTTTTGTCAAGATATGACGTCACGTTTCCGAGATACACGTCATCAAACATTGACTTAGGCAAGGCACATTATCATCTTAAAAGCGTCATAACCATTGAAGCTTTAGACATTGCACGAGACAAAGTGTGAAATGGAGGGAATAGATCAGGCTTTAATTTGAGGATAACAATATTGACATAATTAAGTAATTAGTGAACTTAATTAAAATTAAAAAAAATAAATTTTGATTTTCTGCAAAATGGGTACCCTTCTATTTTGCTGGTTTTTACATATTTTATTCTCCTATACATTAGCTACATCATATAAAAAATCCAGAATGGGCCGACGTCTACGTAACTGTCTTTTGGACTTCGTAATGTCTGGCACTCGCCTGTTTCGTTTTAGCAACCAAGGAGAGGCGCTACCCGAAGATGCTCCTTTCTACCCCAAACCAAAGCAAACCTAACCTGTCCTGACGTGACCTGACCTAATCTAACACGCGTAAATATATACAGCCCTCACTGCAGTTGCCGACTGGCCAAATGCTACTTAGATACGAACATTAGCCCTCACATTTGCCGGCTGGCCAGATGCTACTTAAAAAGCGAATGCGTGTTAAAACACTTGAGGCTGACCGGCTGCGAGGCAGCGACCTTTAGATTACGAGGTGGGTACACTTGGCACACTAACTACTAAGCCATGAAGATAGGTGGTCATCGCGGAGATGTAAGCCAGTTTTTTTTTAATGATTCCATTAGGCATTCTCTGGGCAGCGCTTCTCTTTGGTTGCAAAAAGGAAATACTCCTGACTCTCCCAGCGTTAGGGGAGAAAGGCCCGGTTTAGCCAAAAAAGGTATTAAAAAAAAAAACGGAATTTGAATTGTAAGTGGGGCGGTGGGGAACTTCATCGTGTGTCAATTTCATGGTCCTAGATCAATATCTTCAAGATCAAATGAGGTTAAAAGTGATCAAATTTGCTATAGTGACTATTTTGCGTTTATACGCCCATAGCTCTAAGAGTTACCGGCCGATTTTCCTATTTCTTCCTTTATACGACATTTGTAGTGTTATGAGAATCTCTAGTTAATCTAACCATAAATTAAGTAGTTAGTGGCCTAATAAGAGTAAGATGTCGCCGGCAGAGGCGGGGATCGGCCGACGCGGGAAACGTTTCAGTCAAAGATTGTTTTTGCACCCTAATAATTCAATTTTTACCACTTTATTTTCGTATTCATTTGACCATTAGATTGCGTGTACCTACATTTTTAACCCGCGCCCCACTGGGGGGGCTATTTATAGCCCCCCCCCCTCCCGTTTTTCTGCAATAACTTCCAAACCGCTTGACGTATCGACGCCAAACTTTCAGTACCTTCGGCTGCATCAATTTGACAACTTGTGTCAAAATTTTAACTTCGTACCTACCATAGGTCGGCCGGAAATGACGTCAGAGTGACGTCATGTTCGGCCGATTTCGACGCAAAACATTGAACCACGGCAATCGCTCCCATGAGCTCAGTTTTTAAGCTAGATCCAATTTCTTTGCATGAGAGGACTCAGAATAGACTGCGCTATCAAACTACTATCTCGGATTTTCGAAATTTTGAAAATTTCGAAAATTTGATATAATAAAATCCAAAATTTATATTTTTACATTTTTTTCAAAAAGTTTTTGACTTTTCGAAAAAACCGGAATATATGTGATAGAACGCATTATTATGACTAACTCTAGCAAGGTTTAGCTAAATATCTTCAAAAATGGCCAAGTTTTACGCATTATTGCAAAAAATTCACAATTATTAATTTTTCAAATCAATTTTTCAAGCACGTATTTGACATCGTACGCCAATATAAATAGCACCAACGTGTTCCTGAGCTCAAACTGCATCCAATAGACACCTTTTTTGTTGAAAAATTTTAACTTCAAAAGTTGACCTTTTTTGACCTGAAAGTGACCTGACCTAAGCTAAATTCGTCTCAAAATGACCTCGAATGACACAGACGACATCACATTCGAAATCTCTGGCCTAAATGGACCATAAAACATGTGTCACGTGACCGACGCATGATATAATATTTTCGTGACCTGTGATGACCTGACCTTGACCTGAAAATCAAAGTACAAGTTTGGTACCCTCGGGGTATCTAGAGCATCTGTTCACGAGTGTGTGATCCAAAAATGAGCCTGATCTGACTTGTAAGACGGCGGCCAGAGCCCAAAACGTGAACAAGCAAAATGCTAATAATTTTTACTTTGACCTGACCTGTGATGTCATCGGTGACCTCGAGGTCAATGAAATTAGGTTTCCTTCAACAGTTTTTCCGGGGCTATCAGACGCCGTTTGAATTTTGACGATCGGCCCAGCAGTTTCGGAGTTAGGAGGGGGGGGGGGCTATGAATAGCCTCCCCCCAGTAGGGCGTGTTATACGCAGACCCCAGTGGGGCGCGGGTTAAGCCTTCACACAAAATTTGACACGAATCGATCTTAATCAGCGGTAAGAAGCGCAGTGCAAAGATGGAACAGTCCCGCGCCGGCACAGTCTACCATTCAGGCGGCAACTGCCGGCGCCGGCCGCCGCGCCGCTCCGGCAAGATGTTTGACTTTACACCGCTATTACTAGAAAAGTTGCGGACCGATTTAGCTATTGCTTGCACGGGAGGATTTGCAATTCAATTCTACACAGATACTGAAAGTTTGACGTTAATATAATAATTATAGCGTGAGTTATTGGCGAAAAACAGGTGGAGTTGGCGAAATCCGCCCCTTCCATTGGCCGTGCTACATTGCACTACTTGTTGCTATATCATCCAAAGTTATCGTTGGCCCACTCTAATTTTCTCAGCACGTGTGCGTTACGTGTAGTGGAAGACAATATCTAAATTTGAGCAAGATCGAAGGGTACCCATTTTTCACAAATTAGATTTTAAGAAATTAAATCAAAATAAGATAAATTCAAAATCACCATAAAATGTAAAAATTGCCAAATTTAACTAGCATAACGCCTTATGTACACGTTTCAGTTTGTTTGAAATTGATAGCTTCAAAAATGTTGAAGCTAGAGATCTTTCAAGATTGCAATACACGTCCAATTTTGCTAAAAAAGCAGAAGTTAACCCGCGCACCGACGGGGGTCTGCGCCAACTTAGTACCGACGGGGGGGGGCGGATGACCGCCCCCCCCTGAGATCTCGAGAACGAAGCAAGATAGCGACAAGCGGTAAACGGCATCGGATACGCACGGTCAAGATCTACAATTTTTACAAAGGTCATTTTCAGGTCAGGTCAAAGATGACGTCACAGGGGTCGAAAAAGTCAAAATGGCGGCGCTAAATATGGAGAGAGTTTTTCTCGAATAACTTTCGAATTAGTCAAGATAGGAACAAACTAAGGGCATCATCGTGATCCTCTCGTCAATCCGCATCGAATGATATATATGTTGACCTCGAAAGGTCAAGGTCAAAGGTTGACCTCAGGTCACGTGACCTCGAGGTCATCATGTATATCATTCGATGCGTCTTGACGAGCTGAACACAATGAGACCATCCACGCGTCTGTATCTTGTTCCTGTACGGAGTTATTGGCCAAAAACCTTTGGTGACCTTTGATGACGTCACATGACCTCACAGCTGCCCAACAGCAAAACAGACCTCAAGGTAGTGAAGGTTGATCGTATATGAAGTCATGTATGGTATATGGGGCCATTCCGACCCGTTTTAGTGGTAAAAACAGGGAGTTGATTTTTCCCCCATTGACTTATAATGGGGAGGTCGCGAAATTGACCTGACCTTAGGTCACCGATATCAAAATTCCGAGATATACAAATTGTAGCTACTAATGACCTAATAACATCCTGCGACTTTCAAAGGCCTCCGACATCTACTGTAGCTCTGGCACGGTGACAAAGTTGCAAAAAAGTGACTTGAGGTTGGGTCATTCAAAGTGACCTGGTGACCTGACCTTGAAAGGTAGGAGGTTCAAACTTGCACACCATGTGTAAAATTGATAAGGGAATAGTCATACAAAATTTCGCGGCGCTACGCGCCGCGGTTTTCCCGCTATTCGCGAAAAACCTCAGGGGGGGGCGGATATCCGCCCCCCCCCGTCGGTGCGCGGGTTAAGCGGCTTGTATCTCTGTAGCCTGAGGGCATATGACAAAATCCTTTAACCCTCAGAGGTTTCACCCAATAGCCAATAAGTATACCAAGTTTGAACAAAATCGCAGAGGTGGCCGATTTTGGCTGTCCCGGTTGACATGGAATGCCCCTAAATATATACAAATTTTTAAGCAGATGTAAAAGTTACCATTTTCTAATGAAATTAAAGTTTTATTAATTTTGAATAAAACTACGAGGGGCAAAGTTTTGAAATTTGTCCTCCATTTATTTCTACCCATGACAAATGAATAGAGACTAGAGTTATTTCACTCACTTTTATTAGACATCGTACAGGTGGGGGCGGCCAATTTACACCACCGGCCAAATTACCCCACCCTCCCCTACACTGAGGCTGAAACTAGCGGGCTGTTGCATTGAGACTGAGACTGATAGGCCCGACAGGCTGTAACACTGATTACTGTGAATGACGATCTCTGTTTACACTGAGACTAGCGGGCTCATGATTACAGAAACTGAGACTGAGACTGACGGGTTAACGTACTGCTTCTGCTTGATGTTCACAGGTGTCAGTTGGGCTCCGTATGTCTACACCAATGACACAATTGATGCCAGTCAGTATGTGGAAGTTACTTATAATTCGACTGCCCAGGCGATCGAGTTCACGGCTCTGCCGACTCTGTCTGGTGTCCGAGACTACGATCAGAAGGTAAGATTGAGAATATCATCATATTCATTTGTTAAATCGTATACGATTTTTTTGTACCTTTTCAGTGATGATGACGATGGGGCTGACAGAGTGTATGGAATGCAAATATTGCAAATTGTAGACTAGTAGTAATTCTCCCTCTGATGTACTATACGTGATAGGTAGTAGGTACATCTTTGGCAATATCGTGCGGGCCATTAGTAATGAAGTAATTTTGTTACTTAATGCAAATGTTTTGCCATCATGCTGCTCATCGCTCCTACCTTTACAGAAACGCTTCGTTTCATTCGTTATGGACTAGCTCTTTGGTTCATTGGCGGATCGAAAAAGGTGATAATGGACGCAGGTGGTATTGACTATTGGCGTAATTATGCCAAAATGTTCTCGAAATAAAAAACTCGGAGTTTGCTTCCTTATACTCTGCAGTGCATTATAAAGTATATGAATACTATATGGAGTAGCGGGCAATAGTAAACATTATTGCCCGATGTGACGTCACTGTAGACTGTAGTCCGAGGGCGAAGACCAAAATATGCTTTATTGCTCGAGGCGTAGCCGAAGGCAATAATGCTTGTTGAGGTCTTTGCCCGAGGGCTACAGTGGCGTCACAGGGGGCAATAATTCTTTTTTGTTGCCCCTACACGATACCGTTTCATTTTATAACATGGTCCACCCCAACCGGCTAACCAGTAAAACACCTTTTTGGAGCGACAAACGGAGTGAGCGAGAGCGTGAGCCCTGCACGTGCGAAATTGCGAGGAGATGCCTCCTACTGACTTCTGCACGGCACTCTACTAACCGGCCTCTAGCTATGTACCAAATTTGAGCGCAATCGGCCCAGCCGTTCTCGAGATCTGGAAGCGGCACACTGCACGTGCGCACGTGCCAACTGGATCCCAACTGACTTTTGCACGGCACCCTATACTAACCGGTCCCTACCCGTGTACCAAATTTGAGGGCAATCGGTTCAGCCGTTCTCAAGGTCTGGAATCGACCCCTGCACGTGCGCACGTGCAGCAGCACCCCAACCATGTGGCACATGGATATGCATTGCCTAGTGGGTGCCTACCTACATGCCAACTTTCAGCGCAATCTGCCCAGTAGTTACCGAGATATTGCAATTGTTACAAAAGTGACTCGCTTCGCTCGCTTCGCTTTCGCTAAATTTGTCGTCGCTTAGAAGATAAATGGAAAGGATGAAAACACGCGTGGATTACTATCGCCCGTTGTCATGGTGTCGTTATAAAATATGAAATCCCGGAGAATAAAACCAGATAACGCCTTTTGGGGCGAACAACGGAGCGAGCGAGAGGGTGGGCCTTGCACGTGCTAAATTGCGATGGGGTACCTCCAACTGACTTGTGCACGGCACCCTGCTAACCGGTCTCTAGCGATGTGCCAAATTTGAGCACATTCGGCTCAGCCGTTCTCGAGATCTGGAAGCGGCACCCTGCACGTGCGCACGTGCAAAATGGGTCCCAACTGACTTGTGCACGGCACCCTACTAACTGCTCCGCAACCGTGTACCAAATTTGAGCGCAATCGGTCGAGCCGTTCTCGAGATGTGGAATCCACCCCTGCACGTGCGCACGTGCAGCAGCACCCCAACTCTGGCACATGGATATGCATTGCCTAGTGGGTGCCAACCTACATGCCAACTTTCAGCGCAATCGGCCCAGCAGTTACCGAGATATTGCAACAATTACAAAAGTGACACCTCTTCGTTTTGTACGTGGCACGTGCATAAGGGGTCACCCACATGCATCGGGAATAGTCCAATACTTGGTAGAAGGAATGAAGCTACCCTACAAAAATTACCGCATGTAAATCGGTCAAGTGGTTGCTGAGATATAAGCGTCGCAGAATCGTGACCACGGCCGGCCGGCCATGTCCGTGAACTTAGCGACGTATACGTATACGTTTTCAGCGACGAATTCCAATAGGGTTGGGACCTATCTGCATGCTCTGTATGTTTTGGTAAAATAAAAAAGCTCAGAATTTTTAATGATTTAATTTAAAATCACTTTGTTAAAAAAATGCCTAGTTAGTTCAGAAATTAATTATTTGTGGCTGAAAACAACTTGCTTCTGATTGGTCGGGCTAATCATGACGTCACATGTAGGTATATAACTGTCTGTATATTTGGCGCAGTTGAGACATACATTTTCTATGTATTTTCCTATGGTAAATCGGAGTGATTGGTCGTGTTTTCAGTGTCTCTTTATTTTGCGCTGGTATTGCGTGGCTAAGAAGTTTTATCAAGAATGGCATATACTAAAATGTTCCTTTAATAATGGAGCTTCAATATCTGTGAGTTTTATTGGCAAGCGAAAACTGATTTAGCTGTTATTTTATCTGGAAATTACTCATTTTTTAAAGGGATTATCAGGGTTTAAAAATTGAAAGGAATCGGCATAAATTTCCAATCAATGAACTCCCCAGACTCTGCCGATTCTAAATATATGCATAAAATGTAAATCGGTACCAAAATTTGCGAGATATAGCCGTTTCAAAATTGACAAAATTGTACTTACTCACGCAAAACAAGTACTTGGGCGGCCAAGTTGGCCCATCACTAAAATGTAAACAAAGAGCAGCCTTGGGAAATTTCGCCAAGGCCGCCGCACCGCACTGTCGATTTCCACAAGACGGGCCTTGTCTGTTTTGTTTTTGTCTGTTGTTTTTAGGGCCTTGCAACAAGATTTCAGTGCTTGGCATTGAATTTGGATATGAACAAATTGAAGATTTGCTTTTCAATAAGACAGCAAGAGTTATCAACATTGCCAAAGTTATTATTATGATTTGGGTGTGATTTGAATAGCTTGAGCTTGTTTGCTGATCATCAAATCTTGATTAATATCATTTAAATGTCAACAATTTTCAAGGGTAAATTTGAGTGTTTTATTTCAATAAATTGAAATGTAAGTGCATCAGGCACAAGAGCTAAGTTTCAATCTGATTATTTTGTCAAGAGTGGTCAATCTAATGTAACGTCTTGCGAGAAAGCTTACCTAAGTGACTGAAGAAAGCGCTACCTACAGTTTTTCAAGATCTATGTTGATCTGTTTTTTCGAACAACAGGTTGTACAACATGATGTTGTGACATGACCTCTGTGTCCTGTACGTCTCCCCTGCTGCTGCAGCAGAGCCCCGGCTTCAACTATAGTTTGTTATGGGTGGGCTCTCCGTGAACGTCTTGGTGCGTTTCTACATATTGCTGCTGTGAAAGGACGGTACATGAAAAAATATGTAACTTGTATGTTTTTTATTGCCCTGGTACCTACTTAATGTATATTTTTGTTGTTTATGAGTGATAAATGATTATATTTTGAGGAAAATTGAGGCATTTCAGTTTTAGTTTGTGGAACAGAACAGAAGAAGCTGCTGAGTGCAGATCATGCTTTAATTGAGAGAATCATCCTCAGTTATCTACATATAGGCATGCTTTGTAAGCTCCTTGCATTTTGCCAGCTTCTACTTGCTAGTCAAAGTTGTAAGAAGGGTTAGGGAGAACAATTGGTACACATGCCACCATGTGCAATCACCAAACGAATGAACGTGAGGGCCAGGTCCTTCACACAGCATGGATGCTTATAGGTACTGCACTAATGTATAATGTTCATTATGTTCATATTAGCAACTCACCCAGGCAGCCTGCCTTGTGGTATTTCTGAGTTCAAGATTTTGTAAGACTCGCACTAATCATAAGGTATGTATGGATGAACAATGTGCAAAGGGGTCGCACGTGCCTGCTCAGTGCTCAGCCATGGATGCACGTGCCTTCTCAACAATGGGCGTGCTTGCAGACATCTCCATGGACGAACAATGTGCAAAGGGGGGGGGGGGCGTGCCTCCGCGGCCGCCTGTTGGCTCAGCCGCTGCTGCTGCTTGGCGCCGCTGCTGAGCGCTGCCGGAGACGCCGCTCGCTGCCGGAGCTGCCGGAACAGTCACCGGAGCTGCCGCCCGCTGCCGGAGCTGCGGGAGCCGGGCCCGCCGCTCATCTGTCAGGACCGCCGACGGCAGCACGCCCGTCTGTCAGGGTCTGTCAGTGCCGGCAGTGGACGCGCGCGGGTGCGGGCCGGGTACGGACGCGCGCGGGTGCGCGCCAGGTACGGGTGCGCGCCGGCTATGGACGCGCGCGCGCTTGCGTCATTGCGTGCCGACGATGGGCGCGCGCGCGTGTATGCCGACCATGGCTGCCGCCCGCTGCCGGAGCTGCGGGAGCCGGGCCCGCCGCTCATCTGTCAGGACCGCCGACGGCAGCACGCCCGTCTGTCAGGGTCTGTCAGTGCCGGCAGTGGACGCGCGCGGGTGCGGGCCGGGTACGGACGCGCGCGGGTGCGCGCCGGTACGTGCCGGGTACGAACTCGCTTGGGTGCGCCCCGGCTGTGGACGCGCGCGGGTGCGCGCCGGGTACGGACGCGGCGTGCTCGCCGGGTAAGGACGCGGCGCGCGCTTGCGTGCCGACGATGGGCGCGCGCGCGTGCATGCCGGCCATGGCCGCGCGCGTGCGCCCCAGCCATGGACGCGCGCTAATGCGCGCCGGCGATGGGCACGCACGTGCCTGCTCGGCAATGGATGAGCGACGAGCGTGCCTTCTCGGAAATGAGTATACATGCAGACATTTCATGGATGAACGCTTTCAATATGTTCAATGTGTTGAGACGGATCTGAGTAAACTGGAGAGAAACTAGGATAGTTTTAGTCCTGCTCAACTAGTTCTGCCAATAAGTACAAACACCACCTTGCTGCCAACTGCTTACCAAATACCGCATCTGTTGTACCCTTGCATGATGCATATGTACATACAGAAAAAAATACAGTCTGTTGAAATCTGAAAACATACACTGCTGAGCACTGTGGATGAATCTGTATGAACCCTGTGGCTCAGCGAAACCTTCTGGCCCAGGTTATAATTGACAGTGAATTAGGAATCAATCCTTGCGAAGAGAAAATAGATCATTGTGCTTTAGATGAGCATAACCCGGCAGTTGCTGGGG